TATATGTGGGAATCTTATTCATCGATTAGCGTAATAAATTAAAAAAAAAGTAATTCGGAAACTTAACCCTAAGCATGTACCATCTGTATATAAAGTAGTCGTATGATCACAATCTCACCGTTTTCAGTTTTCCAGTTATCACATCTGCTCCAATCACTGCTTCAAAAGAGAACTATCACTCTAGACCGCTCCTGGATGACTAAACGATTCACCGCGAGGCTGTAAACCCGAGTAATTACATCCAGGGATATCCTACTTGAGGAGGAGCGTGACCGATAGACCACTTTCTTTCCCGGTTCTGGGTCGGCCGGTGTTCGATGTTTACTCACTGTTGTGTACTTAACGCAGTGCGATACGGATTCAACAATGGTAACCCACTCCTGATAACGCATGTCACATGGTGAAAGTTTCGGCGACAATGAATTTGCATTAATCGGATCTTAATTTGGCGTTAGAGACTTTCCCTCCTGTTGGCTAATCAATTGTGAAAAAACAAACCGGAAACGAATCTCGGTCTGGTTACAAATCGGTAGAGGTTTTCGTGTCATATAGTTACAGTGTAAAAGTAAAGAACATGATGGGTAAACTTCTGATAACTCCAGGTTAAAACAGACTTCAATAAGCTGGTTTTAAGTTAATCTGATGGTTCTGTTACAAGTCAATACTTACCGATAATATAAAAAAGACGAAAATCTTAATATAAGAACATACCCTTTCAGAAAACTTTTAAAATTAGAAAAACTACCTTTGTTAGACGAATGATGTGTAATTTTCGTATCTCCTTCTTATATTCAATCTTCTTTTTTCATTCACTCATTCTTTTTCATAAATTTTAGATAAATTTGACCTTTTACCAATCATATTGGTCTGTTTTCTTAAATATATTCAGCAGTAATTAATGTAACTTGGGAATAACTCTTTTTTGCATACCGTTTCTGCCCTAATTCCACATGGCCTGTTACTATTGTAATAGCTTGCATATAAGATTTTCTTTTTTAGTTATAATTGTATTTAATAATTATATAGAAAGAAATCACGTGTCAACCGAAATTCCTTCTTTTACCCTGCTTTTTTAAAGTTTAATTCTCTTTCAGAACGGAAAAATTGGTCTAATAGGAAATAGATTTAGAAAATTTCCTTAAATTGGTGTTGTGCAAAATGGTGGCCCTATTGGAAAGATGGTGCAGATCAATTGTAACTTTGGAAAAAACTATGCAGCGAGCTTATGTAATGATATAGTTATTTATTTCAATTAATTAATATTTATGTAAGGTGTGTGTGTAGAGATTAGTGACCGTTAATCGTATATGTAAGGTATAGGTTGAGATAAAAAAAGTCAGTGTCACGAGCGGGATTCGAACCCAAGACCTTCGGCTAAATACGCCGCTGCTCTACTACTTGACAGTCTACCATTTGTCGCCGAGAATCAAATTGATTCGAGATGATCGAAGTCACGATAGCTCAAGTGGTAGAGTAGCGGCGTGTCAAGCCGAAAGTCGTGTGTTCGAATCCCCTTCGTGACACTGACTTTTTTTTATCTCAACTAAAAACCTTAATTAATTGGTCAATTAATTGGAATGATACTAATTGGTCAAGTGGTGAATTTAATCAATAATAATAATGACTTTTATATTTATAATAATAGCTAATACGGGTCTGAATAACCAAGCTTTCGGATGCTCCCCACCCAAAAAAATAATAGTTAAAAATGATAAAATTTAGTAGACTGTTAATTAACGTAAAACAGAAGGTTTTTTTAATGTTATATGGAATCTATACAATTATTAATTTATTAAATATATATTCTATAAAAGATGAGGGAACGTAGAATATACAGAATATTTATCATATAATCCCATCCTTTGTAATATGGCTGGCACGCTGGGACACTAGGGGCATAGTGGTAAGTTTGACATGTTGGCCAAAATGGACTCTCTGGGTACTGAACTCTATTGTGGTTAGCATCCTGCCACAAAAGACCTGGAGAAACAATACCAAAGGTATGAGGGACGCGAAGAGATTCTAGCAGGACGATCAGCAATACTTACAAAAGAATTATTGGAAGGCAACCGCAACCGAACCAGGATTCTGGTTGGACTCTGACGGGACATTGCCACTTGAGAATAAAGAAGAAACGCTGTGCAGATACTGCCAGGATGGATAGGAGACTGCAGAATACATTCTGTGAAGGTCTATATAGGTGCAGGTTCTTGCAACTAGGACAAGAAAAACCGCAAGCAAGATACTACACTAAGGAACCGCTGGCAAAGCTATGGAAGCTGATTAACAACTTGATGCTGGCTAGTGAGTTATAAAAAAATCAGGGGAGCACATTAGATCTATTCAGTTTGAAGTGCAGTAGGCCTTGTGGCCGTCTCTTTTATTCCTATCACTATCTTATCCCTAGATAAGCTTTAAGGACATAAGGTAAGTTGCATATTTATTGGTTCACTTTTAAACTATGTAGCATTGAGTGTTACAATACAAATATTTGATTTTGAGATTTCTCCGTGTGGTCGTTACCAATCATTTTGGTCTGTCCAACCTAGTAAGGGATGGTTAGATAGGTCTGTCAGGCGGCTCTATACCATCTTTAATACTGCATCTGGGTGATTTTTTGACAAGATTCTGAAGTGGTGAGATGTATAAACGCGTCGGCTAGACAAACGAGAATAGGCTGATAATGATCGATAACGACCAAAATACAAAAATATTTCAGTAAAGATGACGTTGTTTAGATTTAGAGATGGTATGGCTTAAAGATATTTATGAAGAGCTAGTCCTACCTGACGAATTAATGTATGGAATTCGTACAATATCTTCTGATGATTCTAAAATTAAGTGTTCAATGACTTCGAAATTTCAGAAGTAATCCATTTCCGGTTTATTTTCAAAATTTTTACTTAAGAGTATAAAAAGCTACAGTTTCACAAACAGAAGAAGAAAAAATGACGCCAGATTCGGTCGAGCAGCTACTCAGTGAGAAGACAATGGTAAAATCGTTCGTTAAGAATCGATTTCCAAGGTTTAAAGGGCTCTTTGTTGGCCGAGAGCCATCATTTTGGTTTTTCGACGGTTGCTTTTCAATCCTCTGTAACTAGTAAATTCTGAGAAGTATGGAACTTATTCCCTTTTGTAGATAATCGATTCTAGATTCTAACAAATAATTTCCAACAAAATTTGTTGGGAAATGAAGTAATGGTTAACTCTATAATATGGACCACTTGCTACCACAACTTTTCTCTCTAAAGTTCCTTTTTTTGGGAAAAACTTTTGAGATAATAGAATCCCACATTGTTGCCATTAAAAAGAGCCTTTTTTGATATGCCTATTTGATCGTTTTTGTCTTATTCTGTACGATTTTAGAAAACGATACAATCGTAAAGCGCCATACAAAATATTACCTGTTTTACGATGTTTGTTTATTTTTTTATGCAAATGTTCCACTTTTTCCCAAACAAAAATTTCTCTCTCCTTACTATTAATGTGAAAACATCTGGTTAAAATTTGAAGTCAATGCGACATGGAGGAAAAGTAAAATTAATTAGAAAAAATTGAACTTTTCAGGAGTTGTTTGTAATGATGTCGGGGTTATGTGATGAACAGAAGTAACGTCGCTATTTTATCTTCTTGTACACATGAATAAAATGTTATTTTTATTATTATATATTATTTTACTAAACTTATTTATTTTTAAGAACTTATTTCACAAAAAAGTCAACGATAATAATATGAATATAATTAGTGATTAATCTAACTAGGAGAGAAAAAAATCGTGCTAAGCAACTCAGTAGACGCTCATTTAAATACCAGCCATTTCCGTTTCAAAACCCTTAATAATATGAATTTGTATCAAAATGACCACAATTGTCTAGAGAATTTTTTAAGATAATAATTTTTTTGTCAGTTTTCACTTGTAATAGACATCAATAAAAATACTAAAAATGGAAACCGTCTCGAAAGTAGTCATGGAAAGTGGTCGTTCATTTCTAAATAATTGATAAAAATGGACGGAAGAAAAGTCAGGCTGTCTTGAAAATGAACCGCGAAGTCGGTTGAAAAAACCCATCGCCTGGATGTGACATTGCTTTTCCCTTTTGGTGCCCTTTTAAAAATAGGAAGTAATTTTTTTTAACACGAACAAATAATATTTGGCAATCATGAGAAGTTGTTTGTAGAGTAGTTGTTTCCTTTCCATAGAATTTTTAGAACATGGATTAGAAATCGCTTAATTTTTTGGGATTTACCACCATGTCTAGAAATCCTTTGCAAGCTTAGCAAAGAAAAAATAGCTATGCATTTTCTGACACGTTTCTGAAAGTTAGAGTCAAGGTGTTTCCACCATGATATGGCGACTTTGGTGACAAAAATAAAAAATCATGGAATTCGTTTTCTATTATCTGCTTTCATCAAAATATACCATCCATAATAGACTTAATGTGATTGCGATATTATTGAGATAACAAATTTAACAACAAATTTATTCGTCGTTTGATTGTTTCCAGTGTTTGTTATTATAACCAAACTTCGACATGAACGGAAACGACCCAAATTATAGGGTTCATCATCCCACAGACCCCAACAAGAAATTAGACAAGAAGAAGAAGAAAAGACAGAGTCTGAAGTAGAATGTGTGGGAAGAAAACAGTAACAGTGATATTAAAAGAAAATAAGGAAAGTAAGATGGAATCATAGGTATGTTATTAAATCCATCTAGCGTGTCCGCTTTGCTCGAAACAGTTTATTAGTTGGTCCTTTAATTAAATCCCGGCGCTAAGCAGAGAGAATCTTTAAAATATCTAATTAAACCTTCTAAAAATCAGTGAAAAGGGAGAAATCGTTCTTCATTTTTGAAAACATGGAATATATCGCAGTCAATTTGAATAGGAAACAGACGGGAAACTGCAGGATGATCACGTGAAAGCGTGCGAATTCAAAAATCACTTTCAAATCAAACGTTTTATAATAAACAGAATAAATTAATGAGCAAGGAGACTTACTTGCCAACATCGATATTTTCATTCTCGTCGTCATCGAAGGAAACGTCGTCCAAGTCGTCAGTCCCTTTTATGGACACGATTAATAAGGCCAGCTGTAAAAAAAGCACATTAAATAATTAATAATTATTATAATACATTATACATATTAGTTACATACTACACTTTTTGATATTACATTAAATTTCAACTTCAAGTCATATTTGACTTAAATAATATATGACTACAAAATGCTTATCTTGTATAAAATGTCTACCAACAAAAACTTTATATAAACTGCATTAAAATATGTTCATTTGAACAATAAAATGTTATAGTTCCTCAACTACCTTGGCAACATTAAAATCAATAGTCCCCAATATTGTTAAACCAAATCACCTTGTCATTAGCGTAGTTGCGTTAGCTTCCAAAACACTGGAAATACTCTTTCTTTCTTATTCCATACAAAAATATAATTTTGTATAATTTACTCTATAATTCTAACCGCTTATAAATTTATTCAGCACAAATAAACACGCAAAAATAAAGACTTTCTCAAGTTTTTTCAACTGCACAATTGTAAACAATTATTCCGCATGATGTGTTTTACAGCCCTAAAATTTGCGATCTTATGAATGTGTATATGTGTGATTAGGTTAAATGTAGTTCGTAAATTTAAAAATATGTTTTTGTTGTATTTTTATATATTGGCATCGTCCCACTTCAATGCAATTCGATAATATAAAATAATCAAACCCTTTCCATTTTGTCAAGCTATGTTATGAAATTGATAATTTTTTATATGATCTGTATGTATAACCAGTCTATCTTCGGGAACGCAGTGACCGAGTGAATAGGGCGTCCGATTCGTATTTACCACGCTAGCGGTTCTGGTTTTACGAATTTTTATTTGAGTTTAATTTGGAAAAAAAGAATATCGTGGGATACTGTATGAGTATATAGCATTTTTTTAACCATGTAACTAAGAAAATGTACTCTACAATTTATAGTTTAACAAAATTAGTTGGTTTTGCGAATGGTACTATCAAAAAACGTACAGAACAAGCTCTAGTATTCCCGTATATTAAATATGGACTAGCTGCAATGTGTGCCTTACATTGTATGCAAATCAATAAACTATAAGTTGCTGTAAATATTTGTGCAACTCAACTTAAAATATGATGATAGAATTTATGACAAATATTCTCAACTCAAGCTTTTAAAAATTAATGTTTTAATTTATTATAATTTAGCATGTGTCATCTTTAATGTGTTAAAAATGAAAAAACCTACATACATATACATATAAAAAATAAAATATAGATCTGAGGTACATAATATAAACACTAGATAAAAACTAAGCAATTACAAATTATAAAACATAGAACCACAATTTTTAATCATTCATTTGCAATTAAAAGTGCAAGAGTGTTTTCAAAATAACCACTTGAAATTCAGCATTGTAAAAAAATAAGTGTGTTTAGAAAAAACTAAAAAAATATTTTAAATCAAAACATGTGTAAAATATTAAACTGTAATATTAATTTTTTCCTCAATTTAGTACAAAGCTTGTCATGTTAAAATGTTGATAATGCACCTTTACAACTGTCACTTAAATTTATAATGTTAAACCCTTACAAATGTCTATTGTTAGTTTTTTGTCCTGATAGAAGTTACGTTTGTTACTATTTAAAGATTACTTTGAATGTGTTAATCCACTGTAAACATGTATATAAGATATTGTAAGAGATAATTAATTTGTTTAACTTTTTTGTGAATAGTAGATTGAGTAGAGTTTATAATCATAATAATATCTTTCATAATATTATTAAACGATATTAACATCGTTTATAATATCATGTTGCTGTAATTTTACTTTAGGTATAAGAGTGGTCCTAAAGACTAAACCTTCGGTGATTGTTAAATAAAGCGATAATCAATCTCTCTCTCTCTCTCTCGCTCTCTCCCTCTCCCTCCCTCCCTCCATCTCACAACTCCCTCTGTCTGTCTGTCTGTCTGTCTCTCTCTCTCTCTCTCTCTCTTTCTCTCTTTCTCTCTTCCTGTCTCTACCTACCTATCTATCTATGTGTCTCTCTCCCCCTAATAAATAAACATCTAACAATATAAACCTTAAATAAATTATAAAAATGTTTTGTTTTTATTTTATTTCGGATTACATTGCTACGCTATATGTATATATTATATGTACTATGAACGTTTTATACTGTATATATTTATTTATATTGTTCTACCATTCCATTATTTATTATATTACCAAATTTTTGTTCTACCGCTCAGAGAGCTGTTTTTATATTTGAATTTTTTTCCTTAAAGGAACCTGTTCCCAGGACATTAAAATTTTTCGTTCTTTCTTTCCTTCTCTTTCTCTCTCTCTCTCACTCTCTCTTACTCTCTCTTTCTCTCTCTACATCTCTCTTCTCTGTCTGTTACTGACTTTCTTCTCTTTTTCTCTCTCTACATCCATCTTTTCTGTCTGTTACTGACTGTCTTCTCCCCCTCTCACTCTCTCTCTCTTTCTCTCTCTCTCTTTCTCTCTCTCTCTCTCTCTCTCTCTCTCTCTCTCTCTCTCTCTCTCTCTGATCCTTTATTCCTTTATTTGATATATGTGAGTCGTTTCATTTTTCACCTTTAGAACATATTATATATATGTTCATTACCATAAATCCATTATACTAAAACTTATTATAACTTGTTGGTGTCATGATCCATATTCAAGCACAAACCTAGTGAAGCAATTTCCTCCATCCATTGGAAAATATTCTTTTTTTTTATCTTGACTTGAAAGATAAGTTATACTTGACTTAGTATAAACAGTTAAACCCGCCGTTTAAAGGCGATCCAGCAACGGGAGATTTCAACCCGTACCCTTCTTAAGTGCAGTCGTCTTTAATGATTCAGCGAAAATGATGCAAAAGTCTGTATAAACGGCTGACGAAACGGAAATGGGCTTTCACCGTCGGACTCACGTCGGAAAATGGATTTTCATCCGCGACCTAACCGCGATGTAAGTAATCCCCGTGCAGAAAAAAGGGTATCTGGGTCAATGGGACACAGCCCACCTTGTCACCGGTCCCTGTCTCGCCTCATTCTCACCACTACTTAAACGCCGACCGATTGACACTCATTGCGAAAACAGAAATGAGAACTTTACAAACAATTATAAAAAATTGAATTTTACTTCAAACTACAATATAAAAACCAATTGCATACAATATTATACTAAAAACCAATAAAAAATCTAACGTTGCAATCTCATCGATAATGAAAATAATCATCAAAAGCTATACCTTTAACAAGCAAGAATAGGCTTTTTCATTATGCTTACTTTTTATCACTTATTAATTATTAGCATAATAATGCGGTAATTCTGCGTTTTATAAGTAGGTGGAATTATTTTACGTTTTAATTATAACTTTCTCTATAACAAATATTACTTTCACGAAAAATATGTAGTATTATACTCCCTATTTTAACAACAAAAACCGAATCGGTAGAGAACCTCTTGCGGTTTTGAATAGTAAGGGCACGGTCCGTAAAGAATCTGTGTCGTAGTAGAGGAATCATTAGCCCTTTACTCTGAATAGGCCATACGCGGTTGACACACGTACACTTACACACCAAACCATGCGTACCGGTCCCGCATAGAAAAAGTTGCCTCGAAACGACCCATCTAATAAGTTTTGACTCCTCATAAAGATCGAGACGGGGTGCTACTCATTAACTGAGAAAAACAAAGAATTTCTGGGTCACTTGATTCGTTTTCGGAAGACCTACTTATTGTGTGTGGTTATTTCCACACCATCAATGTTAGCGGAAATGTAAAGCGTGAGATGGCCTCTAGCGAAATATTTACCTACATAATAATAATGGAATATAGAATATAGTAAGCAGAAAAAGGTCAATTAATTGTTTTATTCCACATAATGTAATTGTACGATGCCTTGGCTCTATGTAGAGAGCGAGTAAGCCGCGAGATTTGAGAAGAACTGTGAGGACATTTACTCTGTTTTTCTCTGTTGGAAGAACTTTCTAATTTAATAAGTTGTTTTAGTTAATCAAAGTGTTAATTAGCGTGGATGTAGAACGTGTGAGAACCAATAGCGGCAGATTAAGTACCCTGTCCACCTTCTCTTTCAGATTGATAATTTTCCTTTAGCCCAGCGTGTTTCTCGTTCCCTTGCTCGTCTTTCTGAATATAAAGAATAACCATGTCGAAAAACTGCATTCTGCTCATTTGCCGAAAAGGATTCATGAAATCGCAAATCTATGGTGTCCAGAGCGCCGAGAAAACAGTCCAATCCGGCAAAAAGTTAATTGAGTACATTTTGTCATATAGGACAAAAGACTACATACTAATCTTGGTATTTGGCGAGGAATTGGCTACTATGAACCGCCCTAGAACGAAACGTACAATCCATGAAATAAAGTGTTGAATGGACATGGAGCCACGTCTTGAGCGAGACAACGCCTCGATTTCAAAGATGATCAAAAAATTGTTGCACTTGGATTGGTAGCGCCAACTCAAGACCTCAGATGGGTGTTTCAAAGTGCGATCGGTTCCGGTCAATTCGAAACTGTTTAAAGACAAGTCTCAGACCATGGAAGAATAAAAAACTGCATTGTGTTACTTTGATCAATAGCGGCAAAGCGATTGGAAAAATGACTGAAACGGAACAGCAATTTGTCGATATGTCAAGATCCATGATGAAGGGCTATTACATTTTAAACGACTGTTATTCGTACGATTTTTCGATATAGATATTAGAGTTATTTACTAACAGGCAAGATAATTTTTAGCATAATTGTAATATATGATTACAAAAATTAATAAATAACTAATCAATACAAAATAACCCATAAAAATTGATGTTTCAATCAGTTCTTGAAATCAGGTTTTCGACCATTATTATTACATTGAATACAAATAACTTTAAATCAATGTACCTTGACTTTCAAATTCTTTGAGGCTAAAAAAATATACTTTTTAGCACAATTGTAATATATGATTTAAAAATTAATGAATATCTAATCAATACAAAATAAACCCATAAAAAATGGATGTTTCAATCAGTTCTTGAAATCAGGCTTCAGACCA